TCCACACATCTATAGGTGCGAGTACTTTTTCTTCTTTCCTTGTATTTACTTGCTTGTACTGCGCGCATGCGCAACACCTCCTGCCCGATGACCAACAACAGCAGCCCTCGCTCCAATGACAGAGAAGGGAGCTTTTGCTGCCATACTTCATCATCAGCATGGTTGATAATGTGCCAGCGCACTCGCATTTGTTGGGTTTTTAAGGTTTGGTTCATGGTTTGACAGCCTCAACTAGCAATTGAAGTCACAGCTTGATCGCTGTACCAGTTTTTGCTATGATTATTATGCTTTGTTGTTGTTTGTGTTGCTACAATAAGTAATGAAAAAAAAAAAACAACTAAATGGAACATGCTTTTGTTGCACAGAGGAAAAATGATTCATGATCTGGCGGCTTTTTCTGTTTTTTTTCTTTGTATTCATGTACGAGTATATTTTTATACAAAAAAATCTGAACAAATTTCAATTACATACATACATACTAAATGCTCTTTGTTTGAAATATACAAGTTACATATTCTTTAGCTACACTTTGCTTTAGTTATATTTTTATATTTTATTTTTGGTTTAAGTCCATCTTAACATAAATATAACTAGTTATCTACCACAATCTATATGCCAATATTGGAATAATCTGGACATTATTCAGCAGGCGAAGTACTGTTACTTATTCATACATACTCAAAACGTGTTACTTGCCATGAAAGTGGAAGATTCAAGTTTCAAGTTGAAGTGAACAAATCAACAAATACCCTATTAATTGAAATGATTTTGGTATGTACTTCAATAAAGAAATCACAACGGATGATGGATGTCACAAACACTGTAGGTCCAAACCTAGATGTGGTGTGATATGAGCGATTTTGCAAACGTTGCAAAAATCAAAAATTTCATGAAAGCCTTCGATAAAGTGAATATATGTAACTGTTGGAGAATTTTCCAGCGATTACGAAAATATAACTATTTTAAACACAGATTAGTACTTTAAAAGATAAAACCGCTAAAAGCATCTAGACAATTTCTCCACATGAAGATTGGTCATATTTCAGATTGGTTTGGTAATTTTAAGTAAAAAAATAAAAGGAAATTTCCTTTTTCCTGTTTCTTAGATCGACCTGGTTTTCGTGAAGTTTATATTTTTTCAATTAAAAAGACTTAAAAACGCCTCACTGAAGGGTGGTTACCATTCCGAGCCCAGTTTCCGACTAACATCCAAAACAAAAGAAAAAAGTTTTTTCTAACAGCGCTCGCCCCTCTTTGGCAGGCAATGGCAAACCTCCGAGTGTATTTCTGCCGAGAAGAACAGCGTCTCATAAACATGACAATCGCTTTTCGGAGTCGGTGTTAAACTGTAGGTCCCGCGCCTTTGTTTGATAACGTCAAAGCGTACACCACAAATCGGAGGAGAAGTTCGGGTAAACACTAAAACCTTTTCTTTCAGATTACGAAGATAGTTACGTACTTCGGTAGAGTACCAAGTAATTAATATTCATTTCCATATTATTGCAATAATCTTATTACTTTTTGATTGGTTTTGACTCCCGAACGGACAGGGATAAATTATCTATTTTTATTTTTAATAAAGCGGAAAATTCCATACTTTCAACAGAAATTGTTAAATTTGTTGTAGTAAAAAACTCCTTAAAAATGGAAATTTTTTTCAAAAATTGCATTCTCAATTGCATACAAAAATGAAACACTCCAGCTATTTTATGACACAGCTATGCAAGAAAATACGCACGGTTTGGTAACTTAAAAAAAAAAAAATCACAAAAAATATTATATTTGTTCTGAGTCATCCTAATGTATGTCCTTAACTTTTGAGCAGAGCTGGCGAAGTACTTTAAATTTTATCCAATTTAGCACCACAATTATGAATATGCTATACAATTACGACGACACTTAATTAAATTTCTCTTTTGCTCTTAAAACGCAAGAATATGGAAAAATGCTGGCACCTTCAAATCTAAAGTTCATTGCCTGATCCCACACCAATTTAATGACAAATATGTCAATAATGCCCAGTAGAGAAACGCGACTACATACAGTTACTTTTGGAGTAAAGGAATAGCCAGTCCGCCAAAAAATAAATCTTACGAAACTGATCAAAAGATGCCATAAATATGTAACCAATAAAATTGCGAGTGTACATATATATATTCCCCGTCCTAAATTAGGAAAGCAACTTTGTAAAAATATGCTATGGAACTCTGTGGCATTTGGATCCAGTTGCTTAGTATACAAATGTGGAGACTGATTCTACCCACCGAAGTAACTCTTTCGATATTGAACAGTTCGTTTTCCTACACCTTATATACAAACCTACATGTATATGTATATTTTTATCTACTAACATGCGGTCGTTCGTGTGATGTTGCTATCAATCATGAATTGTCTCTTTTTATCTATGCGGAACCACGGTGGCAGTCACACTTTGACTGCCGTACTAACACAATTTCCACGGTAGTTCCGCTTGCATTGCCGAAGTGTAGAAATGGCGGCAAAGACAAGAGAATAGGCCAGAGGAGAAAAAAAAAAAATAAAAGATTAAATAGATCAACAAGTTTCTGGCCAGCAAAACTGTGAACAAGGTTGTGGGAAGTAAATTAGCATTTTTCACTCGATTAAGAAAATCGCCGTTGCCGCAAAGTAGATAGTCAACAAAAGTAGGTAGCACGCTTAAGCCACATAGATATGGAGTGAGGTAGCAGAATGTATGTACATTAGGGTGTTTGGTTTCAGGAATTTAATTCTATCGAACCTTATTATAATATATACTACATACATACTACGGTGGCCCTTAAAAATCTCAACATGATGGGGCTCCCCTTTTTTCTATGCATAAAATAAGGACATCCACGAAGATTTCAAAATTTTAAACAAACTTTTAGGGGGGTCGCTACAGGGTTCGCATAATTAAATTTTTTTTAAATCGCGAAAATTCGACAAAAATTTGGATTACATGAATAAATTTCAATACGATGACTTTTAGCAGTTAAAATTCTGCCACATTTTAGGGATTTAAAAAATTAAACTTTTTCAAACCATGGTAGAAACCCCTAAAAATTTGCTTAAAATTTTGAAATTTTAGTGCGTGGTTTTAGTTTGTACGTAGAACATAATAGAGAGTGCCCCATTAGAGATGTTAATAATTTTAAGTACCACCCTAATGTATGCATACTTATACCAAATGAAGAGTTTACCACTTATCGTTCTACCTCGAACAGTAGTGAGAAACCTACGAATGTAACTCTACTCTTAAAAATCTTCTAATGAAAACCAATACTATTAAGAGCCCATATAAAAACACAGGTCACTCTATTAAGGCCAAATATCATACCTCATTCAGGATAGTTTACAAAGATGAATGCAATACTAATAAGTTAAGCATCCCATAGGACTTCGAATATGCCCACTTTGTGGAAGGTAGATGAAATATTTTGTCTATCTTGTACGAAAATTCTTTTCACCACTGGGTCATGAGACACTCATTTACCACTCATATCCGCCGCGAGTTACACTCTATCGAACGAAAATTATGACTGCGAGAGAGCTGCAGCGTTTTCGACATAAAGGGAATAGCGGATTGGATGCTTAGAAATATAACAGCTGTTAAGGACGTTTACAATTATTTTGGTAGCGAAGCGGCAGTCAGGATGTTTGGATATGTTCGAGAACGGTCTGGTAGTGCCAGCTCAAACTGGTTATTGTATGATTCGAATCCATGCCGCAAGTCGCAACCATGCAATACTCGTCCAGTATAACTATTTATCTTTACTGAACTAGATTAAAGTTCTTTTGCTTTGGCTGGAGCTTTCAATAAACTTTACTTACGATTTTCTCATGGCTCGCTTAGGTTAGATAACGGCAAAAGCTTAACGCGCAAGTAGCAACTGTGTGCTATTATTCTACCAAAGACCTCATATGGCTATGTTAAAACCAACCAAAGTGGCAGATAGATTTTGCTATGATGTGAGCTAAAATACTGCTGGCATGACCAAGTCCTGCTTCCCATTTAAGCTGAACATCTGCAAAACGGCTCCTATTTTTCGTTTTTGTTTCTACAGCCTTTACAAAATTCATTGTAGGCGACGTCCAGCTTTCTGGCGTGGCTAACAACTGGCCCATGCCCAATATAAGCTGCAACTAGCCTCGCAACGACAGCTCTGGGGTTTTCTAACAAGCTATGTGGTGTTTATGGTTTGCATACGGGCTGCATCTGTTTGACTAAACTCAACTCGATCAACTCGGGAATTAACTGCAGTTGGTTCGGATTAAGTCCGAGTTAATCCGGATCAACGCTGCCGTCTGTCTAAGCTTTTACGGCAGACACTGAAGTGATGTATGTTGAGTTTTGGATTAAGGCCGTTTTACTTAAAAGCTTCATTGAAAATCTATAAAAACCAGGGCATCAGTGCTTTTAAAATGTAACATTACGTGATGAGCTTCGGTTCATCCTCTTGGAAATGGATTAAACACTTGAAAATCAGCAATCAACTTGAGTGAGTTCTCGATAGAATCTGTGGATACATCGGAGACGCTACGAAGGATTGGTCGATAGTACTTAGTACTAAGCCAATCACCTATTTGGATTCTTTTTTTAGTTTCGTTAAGTTACAATTCTTGGGGAAAGGCACTATGCTTCGAATTCTCGCGGTTCTCAGATTAGACTCAAGTCCCCAGATAGAGCTACATTCCTTCACACTTCTTTTTTTTACGGTAAACAATATAATGTGGCACACCCTAATATTAATTAAACAAGCTTTTAGCAAATAAAAGTTCTCAGAGCGCAAAAAGTGTACACGCCACAAGAATAATATGTAGGTATGAGCATGAGTATGTATCAAACAGCATAGCTAAAAGTGCCACTCGCCACCACTTCGAACCACAAAACAACAACAGCGTATGGCAACTATTTATCTAAGAAACAAATCTGTACATTTTGTCCTAATTCTCATATTAGCCACTCATTGTTTTTGTATCTCCCCCTTTTTCTATTTTAGGCATCGACCCAGAGGGCAGCCGCCTGAAGTACAGCATATCTGGGCCAGTGTTCTCAGTTGACCGTGAAACTGGCGTTGTGCGACTGCGACAAGAACTTGATCGCGAAACGCAAGACACAGTTGAGGTGATCATTAGCATAACAGATGAAGGCATCTATGGCACAGAACCGAATACAATTTCGCTGCGACGCGAAATTCCAGTACGCGATTACAATGACAATCATCCGACCTTCATTGGGCGTCCCTACTCGGCAAGTGTTAGCGAATCGTTGGCGGTGGGCGGTGAATTGGAAATCAAGCCACGTATTATAGCGATCGATCGTGATGAGGGCATCAATGCTGCGCTTACCATCAGATGTGTGCAGGTTAGTGGCTAACTAAGTAGTTGAAATTGCGTACATAAATGTATCCAAAGCAAAAATAAAAATTTAATTCATTTACTTCATTGCCCCGCAGGAGAACGACATCTGCGATACGTTTGATGTGCGTGCGGTGCGCATTGCCGATGGCAATTACACTGCGCGCATTACGCTAAAAAAGCCGCTCGATTACGAAAGCCGTCCATCGTACATCATGACAGTGGCTGCTTCCGATGGCGCTCTGGAGAACCGATTAACCTCGTTCGCTAGCGTATCGATCAACGTGATCGATGTGCAAGATCAGCCGCCGATCTTCACAAATGCGCCATACTCCGCAACGCTAGCGGAAAATACAGCTGCCGGCGTGAGTGTTTTGACCATTAAGGCAGTAGATGGGGATGTGGGCATACCGCGTGATATTGCGCTGTCGCTTGACGATGAGATTTTCGAACATTTTGAGTTGGAGCCTTTTGGCGCACCGAAAGAAGGCACAGCAGTGCTGAAAACGACAGAGGTGCCATTGGATCGTGAGAACCCGGAGATATTACAAAACGGTGGCGTGTATGTGTTTACCGTGCGCGCTACTGAGCTAGTCAATGGGCAGCCACAAGCAGATTACTCAACCACGCGTGTCACAATCGTGGTCACCGACGTCGACGATCATGTACCAGAATTCAACGAAGACTTCTTTAACATTTCGATACCAGAGAATTTGGGGCAGGGCATGGCATTGCCAGGTTTGTCGGTATTTGTGGACGATCGTGACATGGGCGAGAATAGCCGTTACGAGTTGGCGTTACGCGACGTAAAGAATTCGAAAGGCATTTTTGCGGTTACACCCACAGAGGCACAAGGACGCACGCCTGTGGTTGTGCGCATACTCAATTCCACAAAACTGGATTACGACGTAGACGACGCAGATTTGCGTCACTTCGAGTTCGAGCTGGTAGCCTCGGTTAGTGGTGCAGAAAAGTCGAAAGCAAGTGTACAAGTTAATCTGCAAGACATCAATGACAATGCACCCGTTTTCGAGCAGAACACTTATCGCTTTGTAGTGCCGGAAAATGCGGCAATCAACGAAGAGTTCGGTGCATTCAAAGCTACAGATAAAGACGCAAATGAATTTGGTAGAATTTCATATCTGCTCAAAGGCTTCGGCTCTGACTACTTCTATGTGAACCGCGACACAGGCGGTTTTCATGTGCAAAAGCCATTGGATTATGAGAAGCAAAACAGTTATAGCTTGACTATTGTGGCCAAAGATGGTGGCGGCCTCGAGTCGAATGCCATACTCTACGTAGATGTCTTGGATGTCAATGACAATTATCCGGTGTTCGAGAGCGACGAGTATACGCGTATTATACGCGAAGGTACCGCAAGCTTTGAACCACAATTTTTCATACGCGCACATGATTACGATGGACAGACACAGGGTGGTGGGCGCGTTAAATATGCAATTGTTTCGGAGAATAGCATTTCGGGAAATGTATTTCAGATTGATGAACGTACCGGTGAAATCACCTTGCATAAGGTGGCTAAATCAATGGACACCGAGCGTGGTGAATATGAGTTGGTAATCTCAGCGACCGATTTTGGTAAGTTTTGAAAATTTCAACAACAAAACAAAACAGAAAAGGGCATAACACTGTGTTCTTATTTGCAGGCATCCCACCGTTAACCAACACGACACGCGTCTTAATACGCGTTGGCATTAGCGGTAATCAACGTCCAATATTCAAGGGCCACTTTCAGAATGTCGAAAATGTGCCGGTACTTGGTCCACCCAGTTATCGTGTTTCAATACCAGAAAATGCTCCAGCAGGTTATAATATTACCACTGTTTCCGCACATGATCCAGATGGTCTCGATGAACTACTTCGCTATCGTATTGTGGGCGCAAATGATAATTTCGAAATCGATGAAATGTAAGTGAAATCGATTTGATCTTTCGTTGGAACCTAGTGACCATAAGTCGGTCAAAAAAAAAGCATAGGTTAAAAAAAACTTCTTGTCATTTTTAAATTGGCTCTCGCGATTATTTAGCTCTATGTTTAGTAAACTTCAACTTCTAGCTCCAAATTGATTGACTTAGTACCACTTTACGAGCCAACGAAAAAAAGGTTGCCGTATATCTCTGAGTCCAAAGTATTTTTGAAAGGCAATTACGAAAAAAAACAAAGTTTTCCCCAATCTTGTTGCAGCCTTTTTACATTTTTCGATGACGCCTACATGGGGTAATAAAAAAAAAATTTATTTTTAAATAGTTGTACTGGAATCAGGGACCGTAATAGTTACAACTTTTATTAAAAAATCGCTATTTAACAGTTATTTTTTTACTTATATTAAATTACTCCTTAAATAACGTAGTCAATGGGCCGATATGATAGCTGTCTAGAGTAATTCATTTGAACCCGACGAGAATTTTTTTTCTGTTTTAAAATAACTTTTATAAAACTTTAATTAATTTACTATATACATAGTCCTATTTAGACTACAGAAAAATATAGAAAAAAAAAATATTTTGTCACCTACTTTCTTCCAGCTCCGGTCTCATCACAGTTTCACCTCACGCGCACATCGATCGCGATGCCAACATGGACAGTTTTGAGATCACTGTGAATGCTGTGGATGCTGGCACGCCCATACCAGAAACCGCCACCACCACGGTCTACGTAAATGTCAAAGACATAAACGACGAGAAGCCCAAGTTCGAGCATCCCAGCTATGCGGGCTATGTCTCTGAACGCACCGAAGTGGGTGAGAGTGTACTCAAAGTGCGAGCCATAGACAAGGATCTCTACTCCAAACTGGAATACAGCATCACTGGTATGGTGAAAGCGACTACAAAAGCTGGCGTCAGCATAGCGAATCGCAGCAGCTACAAACCGGAGGAAGCTTTCCGCATCGATAGTGGCAGCGGTGAAATATTTGTGAATAGCACTTTGCGACACGATGTTGCCGCTGTTATCACATTCACCGTGCAGGTGCGTGACCTCAATGCCGAGGTGGATCCTGAAGGACAGATCGATACAACTGAAATAACAATATACGTGCAATCGTTCAAAGACACAAATCCGGTGTTTAAAAACAAAGGCTGGACCAGCTCGAAACCAGTGATACATATAATCGTGAAGGAGGAAATGCCGATCGATAGCGCGCTCTTTATACTACAAGCTGAGGATCCAGTTACGCAGACGGCAATCACAAGTTTCCAGCTTGTCGAGCCAGCTGAACTGGAATATTTTCAAATCAACGAACACACAGGTGAAATCATACTCAAGAAGCGTTTGGACTATGAAGCGCTCGAAGCGGGTAAAACTGAGTTCGATTTTCAAGTGAAAGCCACTTCGGCTGACGGTCAACGTACAACTATTACCAGGGTTAATATCACCGTAGAGAACGTAAACGACAATAGTCCCACTTTCGAAGCTCCCGCATATAAAGCCACGATCATAGAAAATAGAATGCATCCGGAGAAAGTCGCACACGTCAAGGCACACGACAAAGATGCAGCGCTCACTGAGCGCGATGAACGACTCGGCTATCATAAGATCGTCTATACGCTGCAAGGCGAGTATGCAGAGCTCTTTGAGATCAACAGCACCACCGGCGAAGTGGTGGTAGGGGCAAATCAAACTGTCGATCGTGAGCGCACGCCGCACATACGCCTACAAGTGCGAGCCGAAGATTCGCCTGGCCGACCGACAGACGCCAAACAAAGTACCGTTGAATTGGCGATAGACGTGCTGGATGTCAACGACAATGCGCCAGAGTTCACGCAGCACAACTATACTGGGGTGATACCAGAAAATGCGCCCACTGACGCATTTGTGCTGAAAGTATACGCCAACGATCCAGACGATGGCCCCGGAGGCGAAGTGCGTTATGAATTGGTGGAAGAGGGTGATGCAAATGGTTTATTCAAAATCGATGCTGTGAGTGGAGAGGTGAAGACCAAACGTGAGTTGACTGGTAAGGGACGATCGCAGCCATATGAGTTGGTAATAAGAGCACAAGACAATGGTAATCAAGTGCCAAAGCAGATGTCATTTTCCTCAGATGTGTCAGTCATTGTCTATATAGGCGATGTGAGCGCAAATGATGGCATACCATACTTTGTGGCGCCAAAGGTGGGACAAATGGCCAATGTAACGGAGGTAAGAAAACTAACCCTGTATGAAATAGAAAATGCTAAAGCTAAATCTTTTTCCTTTCCACTTTTAGAACTCACCGATCAGAACGCCCGTATTTCAAGTTGTAGCCAGCGATCCCGACAATCCAAATACACCTTCGGGCATGCTTTCCTATAAAATTTTGCAGGACACGACAGACGCCGAGCTATTTACGATTGATGAGAAAACAGGGCTTATAACGACGCTGCAGTCTTTGGATCGCGAGATGAAAGATATGTATACTATAATTTTGGAAGTGTCAGATGATGGACAGCCGCGACAGTCAGTCACGCGCATACTACAAATAACGGTGTTGGATGTAGACGATCACGCGCCACATTTTGCGCGCGAAATTGTAAGGCTTCCATTTAGAGAAATGTTGAAAAGATTTACAAAATTGAAATTATATTTCTTTTATCGCAGGACTCGGCGCCGTTGGTCTTCAACTTACTGGAAGAGGAACCCGAGGGCACTATTGTAGGCAATCTAACCGCCATCGATGAAGATTTGGGCGAAAACGCACTCATCGATTATGCGATAATCGAAGGCAATAACGAGAATGTATTCACTATCGAACGCAACAGCGAGAATTTGGCTATAATTAAGACCACGAAACCCATCGATAGGGAATCCGTGGACTCATACACTTTAACGCTGAAATGCTTGAAGCATGGCGAACCCAATTTTGCCTATCTGGGTGACGAATACGAACATAACGATCTCTCGCTCATGCAAGTAACGATCAAGCTGATCGACATAGACGATAATTTGCCACAATTTCGACATAAGGATGCCTCAATTGGTATACGCATAAATGTGCCTATCGACACCGTTATAACAACGGTGCAAGCGAGCGATCGCGATGCCGAAGCGCCGCCTATAATTTACAGCATTGACAATGTGACCTTTGTGCCACAATTCTACAAGCGCACGCGTAAAATCGACTCTAGACCGCTGAAGAATCTCTTTACACTCAATAATCGTACGGGCGAGCTGCGTACCGGCGGCTCTTTTGCCGACTATGTTGATGGGTATTTCCAAATGCGTATACGCGCCAACAATTCGGAGCGTGTGAAACGTCACACATTCGATAATTTGAAGATTTTCGTGATACGCGATAAATCTTTGTTGAAATTTGTTTTTGCACGTCCACCAGGCGAAATACAAGGCATCATAAGACCATTCCAAGAGAAGCTGCAGCAGAAATTGAAGCCGCTCGGCTTGGAGCTGCACATACTCGATACGCAAGTGTTGACACGGGCCGACTACACGCTGGACTTTACAGCGACTAGCTCGTGCTTCCAGATGTTCAAGAATGGCGCGGCGATATCTTTGCAAGAAATGCAAAAACTAATGCATTCCGAGCAAATGAAGCAGGAATTGTTCGATGTGTATGTGGAGTATGGCGTGAGTGAGGTGGAATTGTGTTCGGTGCGAAAATTACCAGCGGCGGCGAGCTTGATGACCTCAGCCGGCACTTGGCTGGTCATATTGGCGGCGTTCATAGGGCTGGCAGCCATTGTGGCGGCGTGTACCGCATGCTGTCTGAAGAAGAAGTAAGTTGGGGAGAGAAGAAGAAGAAAATCTTTACTGTTGTTCAGTTTATTATCTACCCAGTTCTTAATACTCCCGGGGAGTTTGTTCTCCGGGAATTTGTTTCTCACGAGAAAGAAAACCGCCAATAATTAACTCCCAGGGAGTAGCATTTTACCCGAAAATTTGGGAGGAGGAAATTCGAACTTCGAAAAAGCTGTTTGACACTTTTTTGACAGCTCAACTCCGACATTTAATCAAAAAAAAAATTCTCAGGGAAATTGTATTCATGATAGGAGGGAAGGGAGGGGAAAGACAAATGCAAAGTCAAGGATATAGACAAAGAGAAAGATAATGTAAACGACAGGGATAAGGACAAAGGCAAATTCTTAGTCAAAGACAAATATAAATATACAGACAAAGATTATGTTTGAGATTAGGTGGAAGATGAAGATGAAGGTGGATATGTTATGAAGAAGATGAAGCTAAGAGATGAAAATAAAGTTTGAGATAGAGACGACGATGAAAGTGAAAATGAAGATAAAAATGAAGACTGAAGATAAATATGAAGATTTAGATTATGGTTAAGATTAATGAGGTAATTCTGGCTAAGCTATTTGAAAGTCTTTGGTAATAGAATTGAAAAACAGTAGGTAAGAAAGTCTTACAAATAAAATCTCCAAGTGAGCAATGATGAAAAGCTCAATTGACAGAAGGCACTTTAGCTTGCTCGCGGTGCTCCAACAGGCGAAATGGCCGAGTAAGCATATCACTGATGCGTCATTCGAGAGATCCGAAGTTCGAATGCTCTTCTTTTTGTAGATTTAATTTTTAGATTTTATTATTTTTAAAAGAAAAATTTGTACATATATAGCTTTCTTATTTCATTTAATTTTTAGAAACTTATTTTATTAACCGACTTCACTAGAAGGAGAAGGTTATCAATTCATCGAAATGTTTTTTTTTTAATTTTTTAAATTTTTATTTTTTATATTTGTTATTGCATAAGTTTGGACCACGTTAACCCATTTCTATAGGTATTTTTTTAAAGGAAAGGTGATACCTCACAGGTGGTTCCATATCAATTTTGATTTAAATCCGATCATTGGATCATAAAGAAATTAACGACAATCTTAAAATTTTATATGAGAATAGAAATCGGTTTTGTTTTCGGCTTAAAAATTACTTGTTTTTTATGTTTTCCTTTTTTAATAAAATTCTTAGGTTTTTTGTTTTAAAAAGAAATATATATATATATTTTTAATTTATGTTTAGAAAAATATTTTTTTTAATTACCTTTCTAAATTTTTTTTTATTGTTTTGTTTTGAAAAGAATTTTTTCTTTAATATCGTTTAATTTTATGGAATTTGTTTTATGTTTTTTTTCTAATTTTTATTTTAAATTTTAGTCATTTTTTCTTTTTTTAATTAAATTTTCTTTTTATTTTAGAGTTAGACATATATCTTTTAAAAAATATATATTTTCGAAGTTTCATTTTATTTTTAGGAACTTACTTTATTTTAAAATATTTTTTTTTCATTTTTCGTTTTTATTATTTTAAAAAGAGCGCTATATTTTTTATTTCATTTAATTTTTTATTGCTAAAATACAAACAGAATAACGTTAAGGCCCTAAGCCAGGTAAATTTAATTTATTTGATTTTATTTTGCTTACTGTTTTTTTTTTTGTTTTTTTTTTTGAGTTTATTACACAATTAACTCAACATTTTTTTTTATTGTTTTTTTTCAGATACAAAAAGCACTCCAAGCGCAGCTTGCAAGCATCACGCGCACCCACCGAGCCCTATACGGTGGGTATGGGTGTGCCAACACTCTACTATTCGGAACCCATCTACGGTCAATTGTCATAGCAACCAATTATTTGGTCTAATTTAGGAAAATATTGATTACTAAATTAGCGTATAAATACAAAACTCTTACGGAATAGTTTTTAAAGACATATAGTTTATACATAGATATACATATGTATGTATATTTTTACTTATAAAGCAACTAAGTCTTTTAAGTCGCTAAATAATCATATGGTTAGTAACCAAGACTGCGCATATTATTTAATTAATGAACTAAGTCGAATGGTTAAAATTAATAATATGCCTGTGATTCAATATTTGTGTAATATTACATATTTTAAATTTATGGCTCATCTGCTAAATAGTCTGTATGAATTAGTGTGGAATTTGCCATTTTTAAATAAAATTTTTGTAAAAAAATAAAAAAAACGATATTCAAAATGTAAATAAGTACCATTAGTTAATTAAGTGAGGAAATAAAAGTTTAGATTTTAAATGAGAATTCATTTGTTTATTTATTTAGATAGGGAGCCAATGGGTTGGTGTTCACTGTACAGACATAAAACTTCAGTGGAGGGCTTCGGCATTTTTCTTTTTTACATAAAGTTCCGCCAGGCTGGTTCAATATAATTCTAGATTGAGTACATACAGTGACTCAAACAAATGACCACTTGTTTTTTTTTAATATTCGTAATATTTTTCCAGCAAATTTTTTTTTGTTAATAAGCTTTAGCCAAAACCGTGTAAATAACAGTTTCAAACTTTATACAAAATTTTTGAAAATTCAACAAATTTTCATCAAAATTTCAACTTTTTATTCTGAATATTTAGAATATTTTTGAGAATGCGGTTTTATAGCCCATACAAGTTTAGTCTAATGAAGTGCAAGGTTCAAACGGCTAAAATATCACGTTGATTTTTGAGAATTTTTTTTTTGGAGGCTACTTTTTCGGGTTTTTTAATATAAAAAGCGCAATTTACAAAACCTTTCGGTGATATTTTGAAATTTTGTTACTGACGGTCTCCCGCGTTTTATTTCATAAGAAATTTATACTTATATGAAAAAAGTGCAAAAATCCGTCACAAAAAAAAAACAAAAATTCTCAAAAATCAACGCAATTTTTTAGCCGTTTGAAACTTGCACTTCGTTAGACTGAAATTTTATAAATATTCAGAAAAATTGTTGAAATTTTGACGAAAATTAGTTGAATTTTCCTTAATTTTGTATAAAGTTTGAAACTGTGATTTACACGGTTTTGATTAAAGCTTAGACGATATTTTTATATAAAAATAACAAATAAAAAAAAAATTGCTCGAAAAACATTACGAATGTTTGAAGAAAATCAACACGTGGTCATTTTCGAAAAGCTAAACACAACCCTAGGGCCTATTGGATAGTGTGTTCAAGCAATATGACAGGTTTGTTCCACTTGCCATTTTTCATTGGCAAGTACAATGAATTTTTCATTCAGTAGAAATCTACATGTTTGAAGAAGAATACCACGGATATACCTTATATCTGTATCAATAAAAAATGGTAAGCATGATTTTTTGTCCCATATTCGGCAGCCATAACATATGGTCACCGTAGATATAATAGAAACTTTCGTAGTTGAAAACAATAACAATACATGACATTCAGATTAGCTTTTAAATAGTTCTATAGTTCCTGAAAAGGAAGAAAAGTTCTGCAATATTATGTCGAAATTAAGTTTTTTTCAGAAAAGTCGAAAACGTTTTTCATTGAAAATAAAAAAATTATAAAAAGAGACGAAATTTTAATTTTTCAAAAGTTTATTCGTTAGAAATAAAATAAAAATAATTGTAAAAATAAAAAATGCTCTGTGTAGCTTTTCAATAGTTCCAAAGTTCTTAAAAAGGAAAAGAAAGTTCTA